CAGAGTCTCCGCATCGATATCGCGCGTTTTGGCGGCCTCATCCGCATCACGATTAATGGATTGAGTAGCGTACGTGTGCAGGATGGCGTTGCAAAGGATGGCGTCATTCATGTTTTGAGCGAGGTTTTGATCCCGCCGAAGATGAAGATGGGGGGTGGGATGGAGATGTGGGATGGTGGGGACTTGGATGTGTGGGATTTCATGCAGAGGTTGAGTCCTTTTGTTGATGGGGAGTTGTAGGTGGTTGTGGGATTGGGATGGTTGGGGTGGTGGGGATGGGTGGATGGTGTGGATTGTGGGGATGGGATGGCGTAATTTATGGGGATAGGGATAGGGATAGGGATACGGAATTGGGAATATGTATCACCAGTCAGCATACATATAAAAAAGAACTCGGTAATGGCTTTCTTTGGCCATATTCATTTCTAAAATAATTTACCTCGTTATAATATCCGCTACATAGATACCTATCTATATACATAAAACGAACCCTCCCCTCTCTTCCACTCCTATGCAGACTTCTTTCTCTATGGATACCCATCTATTCGGATTCGCTTTTTTCTTGTTTTGGAAGTTTCGCTGGATAGAGGTGGATGGATAACCTATGTCAATGTTCTTCCGGCTAAATCCAAGCAACCCGCGCGGTTTCGGTATTTCCGTTTTAGATATAGATACCTAGATACAAAACCAGCGAGCAAGCGGGCGATTCGGATTAAATGATACCTATAATACCTATAATTCCTACCCCCCTATAACAAGCTATCCACCCAGGAATCCATACCTATATCCACATCCACACCCCGCGTACTTTAAAGCGTAGCCAACATTCATTCATCCATCCATCTATCGATCCATCCATTCATCCATTCATCCAACTAACCAACCAAACACGATCCCATTTCCGCTCAGGTTTATCGAATTCTATTCTCGCTACCTATATATTGAGCAGAGGGAGGTATTTAAATACCTACCTAGGTGGTTGAGGTGGTAACTTGGGTAGTTATTTGGCGGTTTCTGTTCTTTTCTTCTTCTCCAGAGATATATGGGATCGATCGATTGAGTAAAATTCGTTGTGTGTGTGTGTCTTTCTTTTTTGGTTTGTTGAGGTAGGGGATGAGATGTGAGGTGAGAGATATTACATATAGATTGTGCTATTCGTTTGAAGGTAGCCGGCTGCGTCTACAGTGGTGGTTTTTGGGTATGTGTATTTTTATTGTGCTGAATTGGGTGGGTGTTGGGAAGACTGCGGATGGTGAGGGGAAATTATATGAGCTGTGATTTCACCACCCATTGCACGACGAATGATGGATGCAAGTATCACAGTGTGTTTATGCCCCAGATTATCGGCGGGAGTACGGAATCTTTCTTGTGAAGGGAATACTTTGAGGAGTAATCTTCTCGGCGCGGTAATACCGTAATATTCGTGTTTTGGGATGGCTTTTTGACCCGAATTATCCATATTTTTGTAATCCGGCATTATGGTTAGGGCCGAAATATGTTGGAGATTAGAATTTTCAAGTTTAGTACCTACCTATATATAGCTACGAAGAAAATAATGCCACATTCGATATTGAAGGAAATAAAAGTATGTAAAGGAGAGGGATAAAATATTTTCTGATTGGGGAAATGGCACAAAAATGAATATCATTTTGGGCTATGCGTTTTTGAGGGCTGGATCCCGATATGAGATAGGATTTCATAATGGTAAGTATGCGGCACGCTCATTATTTGGTGGATCGTTCTAGCGACAGTTACGCCTTTGCTAGAAGTAGTAGAGGGAATTACGAGGTTGATGGTCAGTCTCAGGGGATGACACCCGAGGGCTTTTGGAGTGTACCTATGCAAATGTGCGAGATGTGGATTGAAAACTAGCGTCGTTTTAATCTCCTTTCTTCATATTCTTCTGCTGATTTATCAGAATCTTGAAATTATTGTCTGTCACTTTGGGAGGAAACGTAGTAAAGTAGATGTAGATGAGGATAAAAGATGGAAAACCATACTTCCTCGTACACCTCAATATTATAGGCCGAGCCAGTTAGAGTTCGGATTCACCCACTAGGTTTTGACGGGGAATAAGTGATCATCGGAGATACCCATTTAATCAGTCTAATAGTTGAGGATATGAATGATCACGCACATACAATGGCAAAAAGCTCAACATTCGGGATAGAGCATTGAGTGATGCGCCGTCAAATGTACACTCGTTGGAACTATGAACCTTTGAGCTAAAATCATTGATGTGTGAATCATCATGTGAATGATCCTAGTTCGACTGATGATTCACCATTTTTTCAATATCTAAATCTTTAGTTCTGTCATGCATAGGCCCTGCCTACAGTGAATGACATGCTGTACTAGTACGGCTACTCTCATTATATAAGGTAGCGATCCTGAAGAGGATCTCTTTCCTCTTCAGCATAGTTCTTTTATCAGATTACAGATCCTGAAGCTATTCCCACATGCCCTAGGTGACGTGCATGACAAGTTCCTTCTAATATACGCACTCGCTTTTTAAAATCTTCTGCCAAAAAAGAATCGACTTCGATCCTCATCGCCTGATTTAATCTCCAAGAACACTGAACAAAATACGAAGAACAAGATGGCGTCAACAACGAGTGAAACTACATTTCATCGATTCCCCAGACTTCCCACCGAGCTTCGCCTCAAGATGTGGAAGTTCTTGCGTCCTCGACATCGATTAATTCGGCTCTCTCTTAAAGAGGGAGACTTCAGGAGTACCGCTATCCTTCCTATCGGTCTCCAAATCTGCAAAGAATCACGAGAGGTCACTTTAAGATCCTACAAGCTTCGCATTGCCGTGGAGCCGTCAAATGCTCGCATATACATCAACACCAAATACGATGCGCTACAGCTTCTCATTCCAAGAGATTGCGATGACTTGGCTACCTACTGCAGCCTTCTTACCATGGCATGCGCCGCCATCAAAAAAGACATAAAGGTTGTCTTCATCGATTGTGAAGATTTTGTGGAAATCCTCAACGCCAGACCGGCGGCCTTGAAAGCTGGTCCAGACAAACCTTCTCTCACGCCCTTGTTTGGACCAGATTGTCAGGTGTTTGTACTTCAAAAGCAGTCTGAACTTATACGACATATACGAAGTCAGCCTTTGTCACACAAACTCGCAGAAGAGAGCCCATTCGCTCAAAAGATGAAGTCTGTATTCGGTGCTCGGAAGATCGATTTTATTTGGAGGGACGAGTTCAAAGGTACAATGGCAGAACGAAAAGACCCCCTCATTGAGCAAAATTGGACCAACGGGTCTGATGAGCTTGACAAAATGGTTAACAGAATTGTTAAGCCTTATGTCAAAAGTTTGAAACTAGATTGATGATTGGGGGGTCAACACAATTCATACAAGAGTCTCAGGGTTAGCTATTAGATAGCAGGTCCTTTAAATGGCAATCCACTGGATAGCAATCCCATTATAGCAATCCATTCATCTCACTCTGATAATTCTGCATTCAATAATCTTAGGTTTCCCAGTGAGTGAGAAGAAGCTGTCACTTGACGATCACACTTTGATCACACTTTCGAAGATGTCCTAGATGAGAGAAGCTGTTGGATAGAAAAAATAGGTATTTATATCAAATCAACATGGCCCGTGCGCAACGCTCTTCTTGTTTACTCTTCGTAACAAGCAAACAAGCAAACAAACGAACAACACCACACATGAACCTTTCAAAAACAATCGAATAATAATCCAGTCAGTGTTTTACTCATTACTAGTCGGAACACCCAAACTACATCAAACTTACAATCGCCGCACCAAGACTGCTGTAGTAACACAGATCTTCACTTTCTCTCAGTACCTAATTACCCCTCCATCCCTCGATCGACCCCTACACCTTCCAAACCCTCTCTCGCACACTCGCATGATCAAACTTCTCTATTTTTGGCTTTCCCACTTCGAATTCTAGCTTCTCGCTTTCATAAATCAATATCTCGTTCCCTCCATCAATCTCTACAATCATGGCTTCCCGACTTCCAGGTGGCGGCGCACCTCGTCTTTCCACTGCACCCAGTAGTAGTACCAAGCCTCGACAATTAGTATGTCACTCAAGCCCCTCCATATACACTGCATAGTTCCAAATTCTCCCTTGTGCCTCTGTCATCCAACCGTTTTATTTTCAATCTACAATACTGCATTGGACAGTCTTGACTAACAACCTCAGTCCCATCTACACGCACAACTCGCACAACTCTCCGCCAATCTCGGTGATCTTGAGAATCTTTTACGAAATACTAGTATACAAGCTGAGTCTATTCGGGGTTTGGGCGCGTTTCATGGAGGATTGTAAGTCTGCTATTTTCTTTTCATTCCCACGGCAAGAAATCAAGAGAATCAAGGTATCTAACAATCATGTCCATAGATTTATGGCGGCAAGCAAAGTTTTAGGAGAAGAGACAATCGCGGGAAGCGCACAACAAGAGGGACAGGGGCAGACACAGGGACAGGGAAACCGGTCAACGGGGCGCAAAGATGATTCTGATTCCGATTTTTGAACCTACGTTTTGTCTTTGGATAGTCTAGGGGGCACGAAGCAGGCGGCATTCGATCATGGAAACAAAATATCGAAACTCACACGACAAGATATGGAATGTCTAATTTCGACATTCCCAAAAAAGCTCGGTCCCAGTCAATCAACACTGCGATTGCTACGACGGCTGCTATCAACATACACATACTTTTCCTATGTTTCTTTACAACCTTAAACAGATCTAGAACACGGCCGTGCACGAAAGATTGAGTGAGATACCAGCCTTATATCTGGAGCTCCTAACCCTCATCCCTGGCCAACGTACTTCTTGCTACGTTATGTCGATAGCGGACCATAAAACAGAAGCAAAAGATGAAGCTCCCTCGGGTGGGCTTGAACCACATCGTCTCTATATCTCTTTCATCTAGAATCGTTGGCTCCGGACGGTCAGCGAAGCGTCATTCAATTGATGTCCCGGTATCAGGAACAGCAAAAGGTAATCTCCCTCGAGTGGGATTGAACCACTAACCTCTCGATTCCGATCTTCGTGGTTCTAGTGAACCAAGAATAACAGTCGAACGCGCTAGCCAATTGCGCCACGAGGGATATTTGATGTCTCCTGACAAATGTATTTTGTTATATATACAGTTCCAACCTTGGCATCTCAAAAAGACCCACATCACTCCACAAGAATGGTGGGGGACGAACAACAACCCACCATTATCCACGGTTGATCTGGGAAGAGGTTTTCGAAGGATATTTGTGGGAGAACGCGGGCTGAGAACAGATATGCATGGGCAAGGACATGTGCTGCAGTATGAAAAGTCCGCAAGTTCAGCCCGGGGAATGCAGGTATCTAGGGATGTATATTTAATAGGCTTTTGTGAGCTCAGCTCTATTGATCCCTAGCAATTAGGACGTGTTTTGTGAAGAGCACTTCCCCGCTTCAGAGCTCAGCTGCTCAACTGATCTTCAAGTGAATAGTTTTGGCTAATCGCTCAAGGAAAAGTCCAGGTGAATACTAGGTATCTCAAGCGACTTGTTGAAATAAATGGCTCCAGTGAATGGATTCAATTCAGCATGTCCAAAGTACATCTTGATCTTCTAGTGAAGGTGGAAAGATAACCAACCAGATTTTGAGATAGCGGCGGAGAGAGATTGAGATATGTATCCGGTGTATGAGAACGAAAGAAATATTGAGAGCCTCATCAAACTTCCAAGGTAGAAGAGAATGTTGTGAGATGATCTAATAAGGACTTTGAAAGTACTACCATTATAGCAAATCCGGTAGCAGTAAGACACCTAGCTATATATACCTACCTAGGTAATCCGAGATATGATTATAGCAAAACCCCTCTATAAGGATGTTTTTTTTAGCGCTTTTTTTAAGAATATTAAAGGGTATCCTTATATAAAAATTCCGGCTAATCCCGATAGGGTAGCATTTTGATCTAATTTAGATCACTGGCAATTTTGAATATATGGATCCCGACTAATTCCGATTAAACATAAATTCAATATAATTTTTATAAATATTTTATACTTAAAAAAAAATCCTTATAAAAAGATTTATTATAAATTAAATTTCAATTTTGGGATCAGAATTTTTAAAAATAATCTTTATAGGCGGAATATAAGAATATAGTTATTTTTTATATCTAAATTATTAATCGTATATCCTGGGATGACCAGTAATACGATAGGAAAGAAGTACTAAGGTAGAATTATAGTAGATTGGTTTGACTAAAGAGTATGTATTTGGTGGCAGCCCAGCTGCCCTTATATGCTACTCCCCCATACCCTATGCGGTATAGCTTACCACGTGATCCCTGATCATGTGACCAGAAACCATGTGACCTGATTCCCCAATATAAATATTAATAGGACCCAAAATTATATTCTATTCGAGGGATTATCCTTATAGGGGGGATCCTTATAAAGGGGTTTTGCTGTAGTTGTCTCTCATATAACTCGGAAAAATGTCTCATGGCCAGCCACCCCCTCGACATGGCTATTTCCTACCAAGCGCACGGTCTCATCTCATCTCATTATGTCTGGAGAAAAGAGCGGGACTGACACATACGACCATAGACTGAAGAGAATTGGGCATCCCGTCCGCTCTGCCATACACAAGCTTCAGATCGGTAGATTAGTAGTTGGGTGGGTGACCACCAGCGAATCCCTACTGTTGTATGTTTTTCCTTTTGCTTTTTGCGGTTTCTTTTTTGCCTTCTTTGACTGCGTATCTTGTTGTCTAAGAGATGCTTCATGTCATTGCATAGATAGGAGCGTGCTCGTAATGCGTGGGCAACGCATTCTGCTTTTGTAAAATGCTACTACCAAACTTTCTGGTGAACCTTTATGGACTGTACTTTTAGGTCGATAGAAAAGTCGGGGACGATATCAGTTGTGTTGCGGCTTTGCGTAGGTAGTTTATGTGGAAGTGAAGTTATATTGGGAATCTGTCCATAAGAAAGAGTGTATGAATAGGCTCGCTCCCCTCTTTTCAAAAATGGCATACATATGTACAAAACACAGATGTACTGGCCATATTGGATGGGTAAAAGGAAGTTCCCGGTCTTTGCAGTATTGTGACGGACAAACTGAGAGAGTTGCAATTCGGGATTTGGAATCTTTGCGAGATCCTCATTTTTTATTGAATGTTGAGACTCGGTAAACGTGGAAGTCGATGTATTATGCAGATGTTGTAGAATGACTTCAATATCATATCATACCGACAATGAAAATGACGACGGGAAAGTTGACATTTACATTGTAGCTCCTCCCTACTTCTTGGATAGACGGTTCGCTACACATTAATACCCGAGGGCCCTTATTCATTGAAGGTCTGATATAGGCTCTGCCCGAGCGAATCTTTCGGTTCTTATCTGCGTTTTGATATTTTAGCAGTACCATTAGACTTTGTTCATCGACCCATCAAACTTTAAAGCGATACTGCAAAATGCAAGCTAAAGTCCCATTCAATGTTCAAAATTCCACTTTCCGCGTCTGTATTTCAAATCCCCATGGTTCATTTGGACAGTTTATCACCACCATTACCAACATCCAGCACACCACTCACCACACTCTGCAAAATACAATTTCCCAGCCCTTCACATTCAGATTTCTCAACTCAAAGCGAGCGAGCCCCATATGCACCTCTAACTTGGATTCTCAATCAAAATATACCACACAAATGGCTTTTCCTAAATAGGTGGGGTATCGCAGAAGCAAAAACACCAAACAGGCAAGAGATCGCACGTTGGGGGGTCCAATTGTTCACACAGATAGAAGAATCCCCAAATACTTGTGTAAGCCTCGCTCTATATGTAGCACTCGATTTGGGATAATCCCGCACGCCTCGAAGCCCAACTAGATTAGGCATTAAGGCAAAGGTACCAAACACCTGCCTCATCCCTCTGCGTCACTAACAAGCCAACCAACTAATCATTCGTTCTGAAATAGCCTTGCTATTACTATCCTACAAGATTCAAACCACAGAATACCACTCGGCGTATCCTAGCTCGCCATTCGCATTTGTCAATTTCTGATAGCGCATTGAACTGAAGGACAAACATATAAAGCCAAGCCATGATCCCGCAAATGCGGTGTTACATTTTCCATACGATGCTGTCAGCACAATTCGAAGAATGGCCAAAAAAGTCTTGATGTGCTAAATTTCGCCCGCTTCCCCTCTAGCACCCCTTATATGATTAACTTTGGACCTCCGCAAAGCTACCTATGGGTATCACTTGGTTGAATTATTTTGAAGCAGACTGATGCCCAATGCTTGCATTGGCACTGTCCAGATTAACTTTCACCTCCCTCCAAATACCATCTCGGTTCTCCATTTCGGCCGATTCATCGATTTATTTTTCATTGGAAGCTACCCCCACTCCATACTTTTCCGCGCGATATAAACAATCTCAACTTGGGAAATAATTTCTCGGAATCAATGGAGTTCTTGGCTGCTTGCGATCATAGATTCTTTTGATCTCTCCGAGTTACAGAATGTACATCTTACGCCAGACGATGCAGTTCATGACTTCATCATATCCGAAATCTAAAACTGTCAATATAAATATTGCCCATTTTTAATGAAATATACTAACTTAACTTACATTTTTAACAACCGTGAGTGGAAATCAATAGCGTTTAGCGAAGCATGAAGGAGAAGAACGCATTCCCACCATATGAAATACTGCTTTAGCTTAATTACTGTTCATTATAATTAATATAATCAACTCTAGCATCTTATATCAAATTTGAGACTAACAAATTTCTCTATTATAGTTCGTACCTAGTTTCTATCCGTCGTAAACCAAAAACTAACATCCCCCACGAATCTTCAAATCCTCCATCATCACTTGGAAGTTTTCCATACAAAAAAACAGCAACGCTCTTTTCATTTCATCTCATCAGATACATACTTGTATCATCTAACATTCAGTGAGTCTTTCCTCCTGCCATTTCCGGTATTCGAATTTCACTGATTTTTATTTATCTCAGTGGGATCTGGGTGGGGATTTGAGAATTCAGCATTGAATATTTAAACTTCATTGAATCACCTATCGAGAGATTAGTCAAATTGATGTTATGTTTCTATCTCGGGAGATCACATACCATATCACATGTAGCTAGAGGTAAGTAGATAGGCCAACATCAAAATGCTGATGTATCTCTTAGGATATTTCAAACTCGACATTAGAAACCACCATCTTCCATCAAAATGCCGTCAACGGAAACCCTTGAAATAGTACACCATCAAACTAGCATAAGGGCAGCCACAACCCGTATTGTAGTCACCGACTCTGTCGCTCTTCCAACATTGACTGGAGCCTGTGAGGCGATCTATAAACATATCGAACCTGTTCACATTTGCCTCGGTAATATTGTCGGATTTTTGATCTTCCTATTAGGGATTCTTCTTACGATCATCATAAACTATGCCATTTGTCACGAGGAATCCGAGAAAGACGTCAAGGATTTGATTAAGAAGTTGAGGAGCGAGCCAAAAGAGTATTGGGAAGAGATTATAAATCAACGAGCGGACTCTTTGTTTGCAAGGAAAGAACCCCCAATTGACAAGAAACGTTTGGTTGAGAAGAAAAAGTGGCTTAAGTGTATGTTACTTTAATCATTACACAACCTTCCATATACAAAAAGGTTTGGGCTTATTCACTGATGACTTTATGGCAGTTTCGAAAGAGAAGAAGATAGGCGGGAGGAGGATATCCTTTACTAGGTATGTACAGAACGTAAGAGAAATCCCCGAAAAAAGAATGTATATGTAGCTTTTGAACATAATTCTATCTATCCAGGGTAAGAAACACGGCGAGTTATTGGATTAGGTAGGTAACGGATAATGGGTCTTGAAAAGATATGGTTTTCTTACAAAGCTGGTTGATAATAATATAAGATTACAATCACCGCGTTTGAATTGAAATCAGCACTACATTCTACATCAAGCCTGATTACTTTAACGGAATTGAATATACGATAGCGTTTCAATCTTTACACCATTCACTCTGATGTAGAGGTGGAATTGGTAGTTAGGATCTACCGTTGCATACCTAGAAATTTATATATTCGAGTTCCCGGTATCA